CCCTCCGATTGGACTCACCCTTCCACTTAGAGTCACTTCGGGCCTTCGGCCCTCGTCTTCCCCTCGATTGGACTCATCCTTTCAATTAGAGTCACTTCGGGCCTTCGGCCCTCGTCTTCATTCTCGATTAGACTCATCCTTTCAATTAGATTCACATCGGGCCTTCGGCCCTCGCCTCGTCTTTCCCCGTTGGGACTCATCTTCCACTTAGAGTCACTTCGGGCCTTCGGCCCTCGTCTTCCCTCCGATTGGACTCACCCTTCCACTTAGAGTCACTTCGGGCCTTCGGCCCTCGTCTTCCCTTCGATTGGACTCATCCTTTCAATTAGAGTCACTTCGGGCCTTCGGCCCTCGTCTTCCCTTCGATTGGACTCACCCTTCCCAATTGGTCTGCCTTTTAGATGTAATGAAAGCTCGGGCCTTCGGCCCTCGCCAACCGGCGGGCCTTCGGCCCGCCGGTTCCTCGGCCTTCGGCCTCGGAGGATCTATGCTCTACCTTTGACAATTGCTCTGCCTTTTAGATGTAATGAAAGCTCGGGCCTTCGGCCCTCGCCAACCGGCGCGCCTTCGGCCCGCCGGTTCCCCCCCCCCCCTCGCCAGGACTCATCCTTTCAATTAGAGTCACTTCGGGCCTTCGGCCCTCGTCTTCCCTTCGATTGGACTCACCCTTCCCAATTGGTCTGCCTTTTAGATGTAATGAAAGCTCGGGCCTTCGGCCCTCGCCAACCGGCGGGCCTTCGGCCCGCCGGTTCCTCGGCCTTCGGCCTCGGAGGATCTATGCTCTACCTTTGACAATTGCTCTGCCTTTTAGATGTAATGAAAGCTCGGGCCTTCGGCCCTCGCCAACCGGCGCGCCTTCGGCCCGCCGGTTCCCCCCCCCCCCCTCGCCAGGACTCATCCTTTCAATTAGAGTCACTTCGGGCCTTCGGCCCTCGTATCCCCTTTGATTGGACTCATCCTTTCAATTAGAGTCACTTCGGGCCTTCGGCCCTCGTATCCCCTTTGATTGGACTCACCCTTCAACTTAGAATCACTTCGGGCCTTCGGCCCTCGTCTTCCCTTCGACTGGACTCTTCCTTCCCAATTGCTCTGCCTTTTAGATGTAATGAAAGCTCGGGCCTTCGGCCCTCGCCAACCGGCGGGCCTTCGGCCCGCCTAGCTGTGGGTTACGTATGCGATGGCGGTAACTTACGTATGCAATTCCTATTAGGATACTCTCTCACTTCGGGCCTTCGGCCCTCGTCTTCACGACGAATGGACTCACCCTTCCACTTAGAGTCACTCGTGCCTTCGGCCCTCGTCGGCGGGCCTTCGGCCCGCCGGTTCCTCGGCCTTCGGCCTTGGAGTATCTATGCTTTGACAATTGCTCTGCCTTTTAGATGTAATGAAAGCTCGGGCCTTCGGCCCTCGCCAAAAGGACTCACCCTTCCACTTAGAGTCACTTCGGGCCTTCGGCCCTCGTCTTCCCCCTGTTGGGACTCATCCTTCCACTTAGAGTCACTTCGGGCCTTCGGCCCTCGTCTTCCCTGCCATTGGACTCATCCTTCCACTTAGAGTCACTTCGGGCCTTCGGCCCTCGTCTTCCTTTCGATTGGACTCATCCTTCCTCTTAGAGTCACTTCGGGCCTTCGGCCCTCGTTTTCCTTTCGATTGGACTCATCCTTCCTCTTATAGTCACTTCAGGCCTTCGGCCCTCGTCTTCCTTTCGATTGGACTCATCCTTTCACTTAGAGTCACAATTACTCTGCCTTTTAGATGGGTTGAAGCTCGGGCCTTCGGCCCTCGCGAACCTCCTCGGCTCCGTTGGGACTAACCTTTTCACTTAGAATCACTTCGGGCCTTCGGCCCTCGTCTTCCCCCTATTGGGACTCAGCCTTCCACTTAGAGTCACTTCGGGCCTTCGGCCCTCGTCTTCCCCTCGATTGGACTCATCCTTCATCTTAGAGTCACTTCGGGCCTTCGGCCCTCGTCTTCCCCTCGATTGGACTCACCCTTCCACTTAGAGTCACTTCGGGCCTTCGGCCCTCGTCTTCCCCTCGATTGGACTCATCCTTCATCTTAGAGACACTTCGGGCCTTCGGCCCTCGTCTTCCCCTCGATTGGACTCACCCTTCTACTTAGAGTCACTTCGGGCCTTCGGCCCTCGTCTTCCCCTCGATTGGACTCATCACTCCACTTAGAGTCACTACGGGCCTTCGGCCCCTCGGTTGGACTCATCCTTTCAATTAGAAGGATGACTGGACTCATCCTTTCAATTAGAAGGATGACTGGACTCATCCTTTCAATTAGAAGGATGATTGGACTCATCCTTTCAATTAGAAGGATGATTGGACTCATCCTTTCAATTAGAAGGATGATTGGACTCATCCTTTCAATTAGAAGGATGATTGGACTCATCCTTTCAATTAGATTGGACTCATCCTTTCAAATTAGACAAAATTTCGAAGCAGAAACTGCTTCACGAAGCATTTCTGCTTCAGATCCATAACAGGATCAAGCTTATCCTCCCACAAAATTTTCCCCAATATACAAAATTCACCCCTAAGTTCTTTTACGGGTTGCCCCGCATGGTCAGAGACGGAGAAAAATTTCGCCTCTCTGCCATCAACTTCACCTGTTCACCTGCCCCTTTAGAAAAATTCGAGGGAACAAAATTTTCGGATTTTGACCCATAAAACGTCCCATATGGTACTCTGACATGCGCTGAGTCCAAATCCGGTGTAAGAAAAATTTTAAAAAATTCCCCCTGGACGTGAGAGTCAAAAAAAGTTTCGCGACATTTGCGAACATTGGCCATAACTTTTTCAGACTCAAGTGGACCCCCGACATATTATACCTTTTTCGGACCGCCAGGGGACGCTCTTTAAGATAGGATATCGAAAACGCGTTTTAATTCACTTTTAAGAATTGGAGCCACCGTTCCCAATTTTACATAAAAATATCTTGAAACTTTGGGCTACTGTAACTTGGTCCAAGGTGGTCCGAAAAATTTAAACTAAATTTATCCAGACTCAGCTCTTCGAGAGCTTTCATTTGACATATCACACGTGAATTGTCGATTAGTTTCGTAAATTTCGAAATTTGCGAAACTGGGATTTTGGGATATTTGCGCAGGCATAAGTACCCTTCAAATCCGAATTTTGACTTCGGGTTTTTTGCTATTAATATCCTCTAATACCAACGTGCGTGCCTCCCAGCAGAAGTTTTTCAATATCTTCCCCCACTCCCGAGATACCCCGGGTACCTATACAATTTAGGTACCATGGGGCAATTATTTTGAAACTTCCTTATTTTTCCCAAATGCCCCATCATATGGGACAACGAATGCAAAAAGATTCAGACCCCTAACTCAATCCGGTAAAGGGTTAGAATTTTTCAGCCTGGGGGCAAAATTTTTGCGCAGGCATAAGTACCCTCCAAGTTGGGATTTCGACTTCGAGTTTTTTCCCGTTTATATCCTCATATCCCCACTTGCGTGCCTCCCAGCAGAAGTTTTTCGCTATCCCCAACCGTTCCGGAGATAGCCCCGGCACCTAAGCGATTTAGGTACCATGGGGTAATTATTTTGACTTTTCGATAATTTTCCCAAATAGCCCGTCAAAAGTACCCCCCAAGATGTACAACTTTCAGAAGGCTCCCGGCCTTCGGCCGGGAGCTTTAATTTTTTCTAAAAAAATACTCTCATAATTATAGGTATATAGTAACTAGCGATGGGTTTGGCCACTGGGGTGCCTATTACGATACTGTGGCGGTAAAATACATCGGGGGGTTCTTCAAATTACAAAACTTCTGCCCGTTGGAAAGCCTAACGGCTTTGGGGGCGCGCTTCGCGCGCCGCTAGCGATTTTTTATGCCTGGTTAAATTTAATTAAGATTTTTATATCTTTCAGTTTATCATTTATTTTTTTAATTTTATTTTTTTAATTTGCGAAAAATAATAATTAAACCATTTATCTAAAAAATTTTATAAATAAAAAATAGACTCCCGTTTGTACCGTGCTTAGCCATTGTTTTACAAAAGTAAAACAATGCCCAGAGTACACCACGTGGAGGTGCACGGTGGTAAACGGGCAAACCCTGTACTCCTGGGGAGGGGGGACGGAGAAGAGGGGGTCGGTGGCAAGGGGGGATAGTGGCTTATATTAATATTTAAAATTATTTACAACCCTTAACACGAAAGGGAGGGGAAGTACAACCCTTAACACGAAAGGGAGGGGGATTACAACCCTTAACACGAAAGGGAGGGGGATTACAACCCTTAACACGAAAGGGAGGGGAGGAGTTACAACCCTTAACACGAAAGGGAGGGGGATTACAACCCTTAATACGAAAGGGAGGGGATTACAACCCTTAACACGAAAGGGAGGGGATTACAACCCTTAACTCGAAAGGGAGGGGAGTTACTATGCTAAAAAGGAAGGATGTAGTTACAACCCTTAACACGAAAGGGAGGGGAATTACAACCCTTAACACGAAAGGGAGAGGAATTACAACCCTTAACACGAAAGGGAGGGGAATTACAACCCTTAACACGAAAGGGAGGGGAATTACAACCCTTAACACGAAAGGGAGGGGAATTACAACCCTTAACACGAAAGGGAGGGGAGACGAAACATCTCTTAACACGAAAGAGGTTCGTCAAAAGGAAATGAGGGGTAGAGGCGAAACATCTCTTAACACGAAAGAGAATTATCGCAGGACCGATCAATGAGGCGTATTAGAACCCTTAAGTGAGAAGAAGGTGGTACATCCCTTAAAACGAAAGGGGAATCATCACCAAAAAATAAGGAGAGGAAGGTGGTACGTCCCTTAACACGAAATGGGGATCATCACCAAAAAATAAGAGGAAGGTGGTACGTCCCTTAACTCAAAAGGGGAATCATCACCAAAAATGAGAAGGCGGTACATCCCAAACACAAAAGGGGAATCATCGCCGTAAATAAAAAAACTTAGGGTTGAGTGTTTAATTAGGGCATTCATTAATTCAAAAAATTATTTAAAAATTTCACAATACAGACTAATCAAAGGTAAGACCGCGAGCAACAACATTATTAATGAGAACATTTCCATCTTCATCTTTGGGTTTATTAGGGGCGAATACTCGAATGAATTTACTATTTGTAGCACGTGATAATGCTGTATATAGTTGCCCATGAGCAAAGGGCTCATCTGAAAGATCAATTCCAAGTCTTTCACAGGTTTGGCCTTGAGCCTTAGTAATTGTCATTGCAAAAGCTTCACGAACGGGGAATTGAAAACGTTCGAAGCTAACACCGTCTGGTCTTTCATCAACATAGGAATTACAGACACGAGAAATTCCAATTGTCATACCAGTATTGGAACCACAAATGGTTTCGGCTGAAATTAAATTCGTTTGAAGTTTTTTGACAATAAGACGTGTACCATTACATAAGGATTTACTTGTATTAAGATTTCTAAGTAGGACAATAATCGAACCAACTTTAAGGTGTAAATGGTGGGCTGGTATGCCAGCTGGGGTAAGTTTATTAAGCCCTGCTACGTCAGAGTCAGCAGCATAAGGAGAAAGTGGATTTTCATTTGTGCACTTATCAATGGAATAATAGTCCATAAATTCAGTATTAAAAGAAGACAGGACTATTGAATTATTTAGATCAACAGATCTATTCAAAGGGGTAAGCATAAGTCTCTTAAGCATATCGGAACTTGGAATGTCAAAGCCTTTATCGAAAACAAATTCGATCAATTCTTCTCTTGATTCAACAATCATAGACTTGGGGATAGCAATTTTATCACCGGATGTGTCTGTTCCGAGTTTATATAGCCACTCTTTAAACTGTATCTCAGATGGCTGGAGACGCATATTCTGTGTAAGACGAGTCTTATGAAACATAGGATAGAGATGGGAGATCTGAAGGCAAACTGCCACCTGAGCTTCGGGCGAACGGGAATTTTTAACAACAGGAAGCGATTGTTTCCAATCACCGGAAATGATAACAACCTTTCCTGCAAAAGGCAAATGCTGATTTTTGGGTACCATTATACGGCAGAGTTTATCGACATTTTCAAGAACAGTCTTTTCAAGCATGGTAATTTCATCGACAATTATAAGGTTACTTTCAATTATACGACGACCAAAATAACTTTGGACAGGAATAGAAGGAATTTGGTCAGGCTCATGATTAATACCAAGTCTAAATGCAGAGTGTAAGGTCATTCCACCTGCATAAAATTTAGTAGATGCAATACCGGTTGAGGCGGTAGCAAGGACTTTATTTCCTAATCGACGTAAGTTAAATAGAAGGAAGTTTAATAAAAATGTTTTTCCGGTTCCTCCGTCGCCGGAGAGGAAGAACAAACGATTTATAGAATTGGGATCCATGACTGCATCAAGAACTAATTTATAGAAATTTTCCTGTTCAGGATTTAACTTCGCTTTTTCAAAGGATGTATCAACGGTCTCATCAATATCATCATCATTTAAATGAGTGGGAAAAAAGAATTCATCAACAGCTTTATTGGGATCATCAGTTAAAGAATTAGAAGGAAGAGGAAGTCTATAATCCTTCATTTGCTTGCCATTTGCAAAAAGATATCTTTCAATAATAGCTAATGCTCTGTCAATTCGGCGCAGCTTTACTGCGTCAGTAATATTCCTTTTATCAATCATATGTTCTTTAAACATTTCCCATAATGACAAGGAATCTATTACACAGTTTTGTGTAGAACCATGGATAAGAATATTCACAAATAATGAACGCATCTGTGAAGGGAGAAGAGAGTTAGAAGCCTCCTTCAGAGTTTTCTCCCATACAGAATTATCTTCGAAAAGACCGCGCATACGAGCTGCATCTGCAAAGGTATCGCAGAAGGTTCCATTAATATTTTTAAGATGGTCTGGATCACCTGGAAAATGTCTCATAAGGACATAAAGAGCAAACCTTTCTGGGTCGCGAGGAGAAACAGTATAGATTCTGCCAATAGTTATTGTGCGGTTTTCTATATTTTTCTTACGGGTAGAAAATATTCTTGGCTTCCAGATTTTATCTTTGTCATTCCAAGAATATTTTTCAGGCATATTTTCATAAAAGATATCCTTGTCAATTTCATTATTTTTCCACATTTTCCAATATTGTGTTAAATGGGTTTCTGGGAGAATGCCGTTTGCTGCATTATTTAACTTTTCTGCATCTTTAAAATAAATATTTTGTTCACCAGGTAAATGAATACTTAGAGGAATTACAGTATGAGAAAGATAGGCGTATCTTTGAGAATATATACGACAATGAGCTTCTGGCGGACTTCTGTAAAGCATACGCGCATATTGGGCTGGCTCATCTATACTTACAGTACCATCCTGGCATTTAATGTAAGAAAAACTTGGACCCTTGAAAGGGTATTTCAAGGCATATTTCAAATTATCAGATTGTCCGTATGCATATTCCAAATTATGGTGGCACTCAAACATTACAAGTATGTAAGGATTATACGGTACAATTCTTGAATTAGTATATGTGGTTTCGGTTGATCCATATGTTAATGTTAGAGTATGGCCGCCATCTTCGGGACTTGGACGTTTGTATTCTGCTGGCTTGTTAGCATGAAGAATGGTCGTGCGGCTATAAGGTTTGGGAAATCCTTTTAAGCAACGTCCATTACTGCCTTTGCAGTGCTCACCACAATCATGAATCTGGAACTTGGGTAAAAGTTCTAGAACTTTTCTAATAAAATTTGCCCATGCAGATTTATCGGAATCAGCTGGTTTTTCTGGAATGTGTGCCCAAATTAGGCCATCGATATTTTCTGGTGTTGCTTCAGTATCAACACAGAAAACTCTGTGTAAATGTGGGCCACCAATTCTTTTTTGAAATTCCATACTTTCGGCATAACCGAGTATTTTACCAAATATATGTTTTTTATTGAGGAGAAAATGGAGTTTGCGCAACTTATCTGCATATACACGGCATAAAATATCAAAACGGTCGACAATTTTTTGACCTTTGTGAAAAAAATTACGGGATATCTCAGGCCAATAGGGATTAGTAGTAAATGTAAACATGAAAGATGCAAGTCCAGGCCTACGAGTTCGGGCCATTATAGTAGTTGCATCATAAAACATATCTTGAAAGTATGGACGGGTTCCGGGATGATATTTGCGAAACAATACAACGCTGCCTATTTTACTGTTTGGTTGTAGATCACCATCCCTTCTCATGTGGTCGAGAACATCAGGTGCTGTCGTCTTAAGCAAATTAAATTCAGGTTGACGCAAATAGTCGGCAACTTGAGCATCAATTCGTGCTGCATAATCTAGTACGAATTTCTGGCTTAAGCCACCTCCTGCACTCCAAATATTATGGGGCGAATCAGTTCGACGAATTGCAAGTCGGTAACGAATATATTTTCTATAAGAAAGTGTTTTCTTAGGTTCAATATCAATTTCCAATTCATCATCGGTTTTTTCATTAGTTATGTCTTCATCATCATTTATAGTATTATTAGTAGATTTATTTGCATACTTAGGACTATTAGGGTTAAATGGAATATTAGTATGGTATCCATCATCTCCGTGTGGAAATAGCAAGGGATAACTAAGAGAATCAACAGTAGCATTATATGGTTTGACCTCAAATAAACATCCTTGGAGATCAGTTATATATGTTCCTTTAATTTTTGGTGGTTCAGATGACTCAGTCCAAACTGAAAACATGGCTTTTTCTTGAGGTAGATTTACCTGTCGTGGATGTAATCCTTTACCTCTAATTATGGCAGGAGCAGCTCTTTCTTCTATGATAGTAAGGCGAAAGTTCCTGACAGCATCTTTCCCATCCGTTTCAAGAACGGACATATATTGGGAATGAAAATTTTTATAGACTTTTGCAAATGGGTTTATATTTCTCAAAACAGAATCTAAAATTTTTAATGTTTGTGGATTAACTCTATCTCCTCCACAGAGAGTATTTTGTGTTCGTAAATTAAGTGCTTCATTCGCATCTAAGATATATAATTGTGAAAATGATGGTGTTAAATGTCCAGAATTCATTGAACTTATATGTCGGGAAAATTCGCCGTTTAGCATAAAGCACACACTCCCGTAATGAGATGAGTCCTTATGGCCAACGGACACTGAAGCAAAAGCTAACAATGTGTTATAAGTATTGTGGTTCGAAAGAAACTCTTTAGATTCTTTAGTATCGCCTTTTAATAAAACCTTCAATTCATTAGGATGTTCGGTATAGGGAGGAAGAGTAACTGTTCCGCAGCTACAACAAAGTGAAGACGTGATAACTTTAAACTTGGATTTATGACTTTGATTAATTTCAGATTCTAATAAAAGTGCTTTACAATAATGACATTCGAATTTCCCAATGTCTCCAGAGTCATAATACTCTGCTGTATGGCGAGCTCTAGTATCTGCACAGGGGAACCCTTCATGCGTACTGAGGCATTTATCATTGTCAGTAATAGGATTTGGCTTAGAAGAAAGTTTAGGTTGTACAATGGGGTCTTGGGTAATGGACAATTTACGGTTTTTAATGCGTTCAGATTGCCGAACAGGAATAGATTGACGAACAGGCATATCAGGAGGATCAGGGGCTAAAAACATAATTGGCTCATCGTTAATGATTACACCTTCATCAACAGAATCACAAATAGATAATTTTCTAGGTCTTCCAGCACCTTTACGAGGAATTTTTTTTGGACGACCCCTCTTAGAAGAACTACAGATTGTTGAAGTACAAGAGGGATCAGTATCAATGTCAAGACTAACTATGGACTCATTTTCAAGACAACTAACGTTAGACTCATCAAATCTACTAACTTTTTCTGGACAATCAGAGTGAATTATCGTTCTAGAGGACAAAAAGGGTGAATCATTTGAGGTTGAAGGAGAACCACCCATAGCGGACACAAAAGGCGAGTCATTTCTAGATCTGGGAGCAACACCCATATGGGACACACTCAACCCTAATTGGGAAACACTAAAAACATTACCAGAAGAAGATCCAGCTTGAGCAAAGTCCTATAAATATATTATATATTTTTAGTAAACTAACTATTATAATTAGATTAGAGAACCATTAGCCTATTAAAATTTCAAAAATTGTGTAGCGACATTATTTAACCTTTTTTCGGGTCCAGGTAACTACTTTTTTACTGTAAAAAATAAATCCATTAACTACTAAGATTGTTAAATCAATCAGTTCTCCCCCCTTTTTTTCTATTTTATCTGACCATTTTGGACTTGTTTGCTTGACATATAATAATTTAATATATCAATTGAAAGAGATTTTCGATCGGGGGAGATTGATACTATGACCGGTTAGCTTTGGTGATTTTGAACAAAATTATAAAGCAAAATCATCTGTGGACATGCTTTGTGTGATGTTGAAAATGAATAAAACAAATATCATACCTATGGTGATTTAAGGAATATTTCAATGATTCTAGTGTCGTCCCACATAGCTCGAAAAGCTCTTTCAAATGTACATAAAAAGTTTATAGAAATTTCATAGAAAATGAAAAAAATAGAACATAAAAATGGGGGGAATCAGCCTAGAATCACCATTGCGGTTTTGTAAATTTAATACTAAAAAATTTAATTACCACAACATTATCATCACAATTGTCCACCGCGTTCTGAGCTGGAGTGCCCTGCTCACGGTCTTGATGAAGACCATTTGGTGTATTATTGTTCTGATGACGTTGTTTTCTTTTTTCTTTTAAGTTTCGTTGTTTAGAAGGCATTGTAAAAATAAATTAATTTTATTTTTTAATGTAATCTTTATAAAATAAAAAAATGTAATTAAGAGAAAAAAAATAAAGGAACGATCAAAAAACGAATGACTAAAACACGGAATATATTTAAAATGAAACTTTTTTTAAAAAAATCAGAAAAATCAGAATTTTTTAACACTCTTTTACAATAGTAATTTTGTAGAATCAGAAATTTTTTTAAATAATATTTTTAAAAATCAAAATTGTAAAATAAGCATTTTTTAATATTAGAATTTTTTTAAAAATCAGAATAATTTTAAATCAGAATTTTTAAAAAATGAGAATTTTTTAAAAATCAGATTTTTTTAAAATCAGAATTTTTTCAAAAGCCGAATTTTTAAAAAATCAGAATATTTTTAATCGGAATTTTTTTAATCAGAATTTCTTTTTTAAATCAATTTTTTTAAAAATAAGGATTTTTTTGAAAATCAGTATCATTTCAAATCAGAATTTTTAAAGATCAGATTTTGTTTAAAATCAGAATTTTTTCAAAAGCCGAATTTTTGTTAAATCAAATTTTTTTAAAAATCAGAATATTTTTAATCGGAATTTTTTTTTAATCAGAATTTCTTTTTTAAATCAGAATTTTTTTTAAATCAAAATTTTTTTAAATTAAAATTTTTTAAAAATCAGAATTTTTTAAATAAGAATAATTTTAAATAAGAATTTTTGTTAAATCAGAATTTTTTTTAAAATCAGAATATTTTTAATCGGAATTTTTTAAATGAGATTTTCTTTTTAAATCAGAATTTCGTTTTAAATCGGAATTTTTCTAAATCATAATTTTTTAAATTAAAATATTTCTAAAAATTATAACTTTTAAAAACAGTTGTTACAGATTTTTTAAATTCTTGTATTTTGGTCATTCAGTGTTTTGGCCAAAGAAAATTTTTAAAAAAGTCATATAGATACATATGTATAGTAGAAAATAACATTAAAATTAATGAAAACTAACTTAAGTAAACAAAGTTATGACCGCTTATTTTATCCCGTTGGATTGTCACAAAAAAGATTTAGCCTCATAATTTTGGTAAGAATGATTAGATCTAGCCAATCATGGTATCATTCATCAAGCTTAGTTTTTAGATCATAACTTTTTTCCAAATCAATCGAAAATTTTGATTGTTTGGTGTATTGTAGTCCAAAATATCTAAATGCTCTATCAAATCTAATGCTCTATCAACTGGTACCAAAACATTAAAAATTATCAACCCCCTGAACTGAGCCGGTAGAAAAAATATCAGACTTTGGGAAAGTTAGAGAAATATAAATTTTTTTAAAGTAAAATACGAGAAACCAACAATAACTAAGATAAAAATAAATTAATTTATAATTGTGATAAAAATATTCGAATAAAAATAATTTAATTTAAAAAACATGAATAAATTCAATTGACAAAGAAAATGGTATTTATTCATTTTTTGGGCAAGGGCAATTTTCAAACTAAAAAATATTTGTTGAGGGAGTATTTTAAATAAAGGTTAAGTATTTGCTGTTTTTGGTATTCCTTTGTTTTGAAAATATTTTTTAAAAAGGAAAAAGTAAGCATTTTCAATCGCTTGGTGTTATTTAGGCGCAAAGGGTGTAAAAAAATAAAATTTGTAAACTAATTTGGAAGAAGATTCGGATATCAAAATTGGTTTCGGATATCAAAATTTTCGGTATTGTTCTTCTGTTTGGTTTTATAATAAGAATTTCCAGGAACCGACAACCCTAGTAACTATAAAATCCAAGAAAACAATACAAAATAAAATTAAATAAATTTATTTTAAATTGAGTTAAAAAATAAAAAATAATTGAATTTAAAAAAATTTTAATAAATCCAAATAATAAAGAGTATTAGTACTCATGTGCCATCACAAACTCGAATTAAGTTAGTTAGAGTCAAAATATTGAGGGCGATAGAACATAAAAAAATTAGTTTTGATAAATAGGTACGTATATACTATTAGTCAATGAAATTCGTAGAGAATATTGCCATTGGATGAGGATAAAATAAACGGGCATATTTTGTTCACCTAAGTCAGATTTCGTTGATTTTAATGACATTCGACTCAAGCCGAATGGCTCTTTCGAAAGATACCTAATTTGGCATAAAATAAGAAAAAATTATAAAAGGTAAAAAGGGGGGGCGATTACCAAACTATTGCTAAAAATATAAAATTATTTTCAATTAAAAAATTTGAAATGACCGTAAAATTAAATAAGAAAGGATAAGAGAAAAGTTTTTAATGAATACGAAAAGACTAGATGGGAAAATTTCTAGAGGGAAGAAAAGTGATATTTTATGCCTTGTGTGTGTTTGAGTTCAGGAGAAAAACGTCAGACTCGATAACTAAAGAGTAGATGACAAGTGGGGTTTTCGAGGACAAAAAAGTGAGTTGTCGGAGTTAACCGAGAAGTTTGTTAGGGATGGGCTGGGTTGAGTAAAAAGATGAGTTGGGGTACTCTGCCTCATCCTTAATACAAAAGCCCCTAGGATTAATAGAAACAGGCCCTAATAGAGATTGACTGGACCGAGGCCCGGGATTTTCCTGTACTCATAGTCCAGGCATTTTTTGACCTTCCTGACAAGGGAACATTGTTTACTGTAAGTGCGAATTTGATATATTTTTTGGTACCATTCGATAGAGGACCCTCGACTTAGTATCGTGGCGCTAACCGTTTTCTTGCAAAATTAGTTTGGGCCGAGTTATGGCCGTTTAAAGTTGAACGCTAGAGTCTGAAGTTATAGGGTAAATAAACAATTTCTCTCTTATTTTTCATCCTCAAAGAGCCAAGCCACGCCTCTTCTCTTTGTTTATTGTGTCTTACATTTTCCTCCCTTCTTTTTTTCCTTGCGCCTCTTGCATTCCTTTTTCCTCTTTTTAAGACAATGTGAAGAAAGCAGAGAGAGTGGAAAAAAGTAACAGTGCGCTTCTTTTACCTTTTTCCATTATACTCAACCACTCCCATGGACTGAAACTTTGAACGGCCATAACTCGGCCCAAACTAATTTTGCAAGAAAACGGTTAGCGCCACGATACCGAGGATCCTCTATCGAATGGTCTCAAAAAATATATCAAATTCGCACTTACAGTAAACAATGTTCCCTTGTGAGGTTTTTCTGAGCCTGAGTTTTTCCTGGACTACAGGCCCAGGATCCTGCTCAGGTCAATAAATCAAATCCAGGCTTTTCAAAAATCTAGACCCTATATTCTTTAAATTTAATGTCAAAAATCAGAACGCCATAGACTAATTTTAAAAATACTTTAATATATAACTTTAATAAATAATATAAATAACCTCTCTTTTTCAAGTCCAAAAAGAAATTTATTTACTCTTCTTTTTCTTCGTTTTTGAAGGATTCTTCGAATTCTTTTTCTCCCAATTATTTTGATATTGCAAATATATACGTAAAGCAATTTTAGCATCCTTTAATTAAAAAAGAAAATTTTCTAAAAAAATTTTAAAAAAAAATACCAAAACAGAATCTGTGTTCTCCTTGTTGAATTTGAACACCCAATAAATGATGGGCTAATAATTTTAATGAAGGCAAACCTGAAAAAAAAGAAACCTGAAAATCATGTTGAATAGAATGCCAAACCACAATATTGTCGGAAAGTATTTTTCGTACTTCCGTTTGAGCTTGTGTAAATGGAATGCCTTGGAAATTGAGAATATTTATAAAAATTAATTTAAAAAACCTCTAAGCAAATCCCAGGACGTATTCCACTAACATGAACTCTATAATCTGTTACCTTTTCTGTCTGTAAAAAATTAAGAAGATTAAAAAATAAGCAAAAATAAAAATTTACAGGCAAAACATATTCGTCATAAACAGTCTCACCATCAACATTAACGATTGAAACTGAATTTAAAAATTAAAAAAAAAATTTTTTTAAGTCTAAAAATCGAAAGGAGTCACTAAAACTTAGTTCTATCAAAATAATACTTTTCAGTGAGTAGGATTCGAACCATGACCCCTATCCACCTCTAGACTGAGTTATCCGACTACACCAAAGTGGTCAATTTAAAAAAACCTCTAGCCAACATATTCTCTGTCCCTCCAATTCCAACACAACATATTCACAGTCTAAAGCCAAAACTTTAGTTTTTGCTGGACCATTTGAAGAATTCTCCTCTTTCACCGATTTATCAATTTCCTGTCTAGCCTTCTTCCATTTATTAGCTTCTCCAGGCATGCATTCCTTTCTTTTTAGAGTTCTGCTTGTGAACAACTTCTTTTCTAACTTCTTTAAGTTCCTTAAATTTTAAAGTTTAATCTTAAAAATTTAATAGAGAAAAAAGAGACTTTTCGTAATTCTGCCAAATTTGTTGACATTTTTAAATTAAATAAATAACAAATAAATTTACCTAAATTTGAGAAAATAAAATTTAACAATAAGAAGTTTACAAAACCTTTTAGAAACATTTTGACGTTCAATTTACGTCATTATCCCCTCTTGAATGAGTCCCATCATGACCATACTTTCCAATCCCGAAAATCCCGGATTTTGAAGTTCGAAATCTGAACTTCGAATTTCGACATTATCACTTATCCCTTAGACTCCCCTGATCATCCCCTGTTGAATAAGTACTCATTCGAACATACTTCTTCCCATCCGAAAATCCCGGATTTCGAAGTTCGACTTCGAACTTCGACTTTCGTCCTTATCTTTTATCTCATTAGGCTCCCCTGATCATCCCCTCTTGAACGGCTACTCACTTGCCTATATCCTCCATTCCCGAAAATACCGGATTTCGAGTTCGAACTCCGAACATCGAATTTCGGCATTACCATTTATCCCATTCAACTCACCTCATTATCCGCTTTCGAATGACTACTCATTCGACCATATTCAGAAATCCCTTAAAATCCCGAAAATCCCGGATCTCGGAAGTTCGACTTTGCTTTGTTTCCAATTTTTCTTCAACTTCCTCTACTTAAACTTGAAACTTGCTTCTGCTTCAAGTCTAACCTTGCTTCAACTATTTTCTTCCCCATCAATCAAAATTTCTCTCTCACCTATGAGATTTGCCCTTAGGAATTAATCATTTCCGACAAAGTTGAAAATTCACCGAATCTGCGTCGGTTGCTCACGTGTAACTGATTTTGAATTCGAATTTCGACTTCGAATTTTTTTTAATCGTTATCTACTCATTGAGGCGGAGTGCCCTCACGGCGGAAATTTTTTGATATCTCTATCCAGTCCTGAGATATCCTCGGTACCTAAGTGATTTAGGTACCGGGGGCTAATTCGATTACAAAATCCGTATTTTTCCCAAATGCCCCATAAGATTTGACCCCGGACATGTAAAACTTTCAGCCCATTATCTCAACTCTGTAAAGAGTTCTAAATTTTTGATTAAATTTTACCAATACTTTTATATATATATATAAACTAGCGATGGGTTTACCACTGATGGCGGCGGATAGCTGGGAGCATTTGGTTACGACACTTTAGTTTTAAATTTTGCTCTGCCCGTTGGAAAGCCTAACGGCTTTGGGGGCGCGCTTCGCGCGCCGCTAGCGATTTTTTATGCCTGGAAGAAAAGATTAGACTTCAGTTGAGACTTATCCTTCCACTTAGAGTCACTTCGGGACTTTGGCCCTCGTCTTCCCACCGTTGGGACTCATCCTTCCATTTAGAAACACTTCGGGGCTCGTCTTCCCCTCATTTTCTTTCGATTGGATTCATCCTTCCACTTAGAGTCACTTCGGGGCTTCGGCCCTCGTCTTCCCCTCATTTTGCCTCGATTGGACTCATCCTTCCACTTAGAGTCACTTCGGGCCTTCGGCCCTCGTCTGCCCCTTATTTTCCCTCGATTGGACTCATCCTTACACTTAGAATCACTTCGGGCCTTCGGCCCTCGTCTTCCCCTCGATTGGACTCATTTTTCAATTAGAGTCATTTCCGGCCTTCGGCCCTCGCCCTTCCTTTTAGATGGGTGTCAGCTCGGGCCTTCGGCCCTCGCCATTCCTTTTAGTTGGGTGTCAGCTCGGGCCTTCGGCCCTCGCCATTCCTTTTAGATGGGTGTCAGCTCGGGCCTTCGGCCCTCGCCCTTCCTTTTAGATGTGTATCAGCTCGGGCCTTCGGCCCTCGCCCTCCCTTTTAGATGGGTGTCAGCTCGGGCCTTCGGCCCTCGCCCTTCCTTTTAGATGTGTGTCAGCTCGGGCCTTCGGCCCTCGCCCTTCCTTTTAGATGGGTGTCAGCTCGGGCCTTCGGCCCTCGCCCTTCCTTTTAGATGGGTGTCAGCTCGAGCCTTCGGCCCTCGCCCTTCCTTTTAGATGTGTGTCAGCACGGGCCTTCGGCCCTCGCCCTTCTTTTTAGATGTGTGTCAGCTCGGGCCTTCGGCCCTCGCCTCCCTATTAGATGGGTGTCAGCTCGGGCCTTCGTCCCTCGCCCTTCCTTTTAGATGGGTGTCAGCTCGGGCCTTCGGCCCACGCACTCCCTTTTAGATGGGTGTCAGCTCGGGCCTTCGGCCCTCGCCTCTCTTTTAGAGCTCGGGCCTTCGGCCCTCGCACTCCCTTTTAGATGGGTGTTCGACCCTCGTCTTTCCCACGTTAGGACTTATCCTTCCACTTAGAGCCACTTCGGGCTTTCGGCACTCATCTTTCTTCTGTTGGGACTCATCCTTCCACTCAGAGCCACTTCGGGCTCATCCTTTCACTTAGAGTCACTTCGGACTCATCCTTCCACATAGACCCTTGTCTTTCCTTTATTCGGACTCATCCTTTCACTTAGAGTCACTTCGGACTCATCCTTCCACATAGACCCTTGTCTTTTCTTTATTCGGACTCATCCTTCCACTTAGACCCTTGTCTTTCCGTTATTCAGACTCATCCTTTCACTTAGAGTCACTTCGGACTCATCCTTCCACATAGACCCTTGTCTTTTCTTTATTCGGACTCATCCTTCCACTTAGACCCTTGTCTTTCCGTTATTCAGACTCATCCTTTCACTTAGAGTCACTTCGGACTCATCCTTCCATTTAGACCCTTGTCTTTCCTTTATGTAGACTCATCCTTTCACTTAGAGTCACTTCGGACTCATCCTTCCACTTAGACCCGTCTTTCCTTTATTCGGACTCATCCTTCCACTTAGTCGCTTCGGGCCTTCGGCCCTTGTCTTTCCTTCGATTGGACTCACCCTTTCAATTAGAGTCACTTCGGCCTTTTGCCCTCGTCATCCCCTCGATTGGACTCATCCTTTCAAGGAGAACAAAATTTCGAAGCAAAAATGCTTCACAAGCAAATCTGCTTCGGATCCATAACAGGATCCAGCTTACCCTCCATAAAAATTTTCCCCAATATACAAAATTCACTCTTAAACTCTTCTCTGGGTTGCCCCGCATGGTCAGAGACGGAGAAAAATTTCGCCTCTCTTCCATCAACTTCACTTGTCAATCATTTTTCCTCTCTCCCTACCATAATTTTCCGGGTACGGTACTCAGCCCACAAATTTTTGAACCTCTGTACTTTTTTCGAAATGTACCGAAAATTTTCGAAAAAAATATTTTTATATCCAGCTCGATGAGAGCTTTCGAATGATATCCCATTCGGCATATCTATCTTGATTTTTAAAATTATAATTTTTCGGTCGAGAATTTCAGCCGAAAAAAATCACTGAAATTTTCAAAAAATCATATCTCGCCCAAAGTATGCTTTTTTGAAAATGTTAAAATCCCATAATATGCAGAAAAATCTGCTTTATCCAGGAAAAATAACTTCGGCCCAAACTGCCGGCAAAAATCCAGAAAAATTTCGAAAAACCGAAAAATTTGGGGTTTTTCGAAATTCGACCCTTACACCCCCAGTTTCGACTTTTTTCGAAATTTTTTGGGCTCAAAAAATACCTAATTTTTGACTCTATTTTATAAATCAAACCTCATAACATTCCGATAATCCCACAAAAAGTTATGATCCCCTAAAAAATCCCTCAAATCCCCCAAAAGGGGTACCCCTTTTGAAAAATTCGAAGGGTCAAAAATTTTCAAATTTTGACCCAAAAATATTCAAATTTTGACCCAAAAATATCCTATATGGTGCAATGATATGCGCTGAATCCATATCCGGTGTCAGAAAAATTCTAAAAAATTTTTCAAAAAAGTTATAGTCCAAAAAAGTTTCGCGACATTTGCGAACATTGGCCATAACTTTTTCAGACTCAAACAGACCCCCGACATATTATACCTTTTTCGGAGCCACTAAGCTCCCCTCATTATTTGCTCTTGAATGATTACTCATTCGACCGTACTTCACAATCCCGAAAATCCCTGATTTCGAAGTTCGAACTCCGAACTTCGACTTTCGGCTTGAACCTTTATCCCACTAAGCTCCCCTCATTATCCCCTCTTGAATGAGTACTCATTCGACCATGCTTCCCAATCCCGAAAATACCGGATTTCGAAGTTCGAACTCCGAACTTCGACTTTAGGCTTAATCCCTTATCCCATTAGACTCCCCTCAGTCCCAGCTCTTGAATAACTACCCACTCACCCATATCCCCCAACCTCGTAAATCCCGGATTTCGAAGTTCGAACGCGAAACTTCGAATTTAGACTTTATCTTTTATCCCATTAGACTCCCCTGATAATCCCCTCTTGAATGACTACCTACTTGCGAATATCCCCAAACCCCGAAAATCCCGGATTTCGAAGTTCGAACTCCGAACTTCGACTTTCGACATTATCCTATATCCCACTAAGCTCCCCTCATTATTTGCTCTTGAATGATTACTCATTCGACCGTACTTCACAATCCCGAAAATCCCTGATTTCGAAGTTCGAACTCCGAACTTCGACTTTCGGCTTGAACCTTTATCCCACTAAGCTCCCCTCATTATCCCCTCTTGAATGAGTACTCATTCGACCCCACTTCCCAATCCCGAAAATACCGGATTTCGAAGTTCGAACTCCGAACTTCGACTTTAGGCTTAATCCCTTATCCCATTAGACTCCCCTCAGTCCCAGCTCTTGAATGACTACCCACTTGCCTATATCCGCAACTCCCTAAAATACCGGATTTCGAAGTTCGAACTCCGAACTTCGACTTTCGACATTATCCTTTATCCCATTAAACTCCCCTGAACATCCCCTCTTGAATGACTACCCTTTTACCCATACTTCCCAATCCCGAAAATACCGGATTTCGAAGTTCGAACTCCGAACTTCGACGTTCGACATTATCCTTTATCCCATT